TGACTTGGCCAGGATTCAAACCTTCGACCTCCCGTATCAGAGGCGGACGCTCTAACCACTAGGCCAACTGAGAGGTCGAATTAATTTGTATTATTATTTAAACAGAACATAGTTGTATCATCAATAAGTCCATGTCGATCTTCTTACCAGTACATAGTTAATAAGATACATAGCCAATGATGGATTTGTCGTCAGATTAAGTTTGCTCTTCAGAGTACACCAACGTTGAAGCTGAACATTAATATTAGCAGGAGTCTTATCCTTATCAAATCTAAATTTTTAGGTGCTATTTATCCTCATATTTTCTTTAAAAGCCGGCAATAATTGATTCCTTGTGAGCAAGTACTTATTGCATTTGTTACTGTGGTCGTTATTGACAGACTTTGTCGAAAGATTGACGTCAAAATTTCCTTTCTTCCAGTTTATTGAAATGGGATGGATAGTCAAATTTACGGCAAACGGTGCTATTGTGGCTTTAATGCATTGGTATTTTCGAAATTTATCATTAATGTCTACTAAGTCAGACTTATGTCACATAATGTAAGGTGGCGGACAGAATTTAGTTTGTTTCAAGTTAGACACTGTACAGTAGAGCGGACAAGTGGAATTTATTTATATGTTGTACCATTAAATAATCAGAAATATTCAAGGTTTTAATTTCCAGTGCGATTATTCTTCTCTAAGATATGCAAGTATGAACACAGTTTTCATTATAATATTGATCACTGCCATCTCAACTCTGTCTCCATGAGTTCGAGTCTAGGATTCGGCGAATGTGGATATGTTAGAAAGCTTGCCAGTTGCTTCTCGTGGGTCGGTGTTTTATCCAGTGATTTCCCGGTTTCTTCCTCCACACTTAATATTGGACGCCATGAATAGCCTATCGTGTGCTGAAAAATGGCGTTAAGCCCAACAACAACAACAATAGCAACAACATTATAATATTAATATCGTACTGGATGTGTGATATGATTATGATTTTTAACGCAGCTTTAACAATCTTTAAGTCATATCGCTACGATGTCTGCAGTGTCACAGTTTATAGTGATGTCTAGCACTGGGGCATCATGCCGCAGACATTTGGCATGATGTCCCACCCATCAAATTATACTGACACCAAGCCGACGAGTCCTAACACTAACCCCTTAATGCTGAGCGCCAAGCGAGTCAGCTGTTAATACCATTATAGTAAGTCTTTTGTATGATTCGACCGGGGATCGAACCCACGACCTTCTGCATTTGACGCTCTAACCACTAAGTCACCAGAGCGGTTAATAACATTGTACAGTCTTGCTTAATGAAGAGTATATTGTGTATTGAAGTCAATTTGTGTTGACGTTTGCGTACTTTTTATCACTGTATTCGTATTGAAACGTGTCGCATGCGGCTCATACTTAATTATTATATTGCTTACCGAAGTCATCGAACCCTGTGTGATTGCGAAACCCAGATAATACTGTGAATGTGACGTTGGGCGTAACATTAGATTTTGGCGGTTTATTCACTATCAATTTACATTATAAATAAAAAAAAACTATTTCATCTAACTGAGTCAAGTATTTTTCCTTCCGGTTCATCCTGTTCATCTAACTGAGTCAAGTATTTTTCCTTCCGGTTCATCCTGTTACAATAACTATACTCCTCTTCATTCGAATATGTGTGCATTAAATGTGCTGATGTTTAAGTGATCTACATCTGGCAGTAAAATATTTGGATCAATGTATAAGCACAGTTTTTTGTGACCGCGACATGTTTTTAATTTTGTTTATGTTTTTCGTTCTTTGATTCCAAATGGAATGGTTGGCGGCGTTTATGTTTTTCGTTCTTTGATTCCAAATGGAATGGTTGGCGGCGTTTATGTTTTCGTTCTTTGATTCCAAATGGAATGGTTGGCGGCGTTTATGTTTTCGTTCTTTGATTCCAAATGGAATGGTTGGCGGCGTTTATGTTTTTCGTTCTTTGATTCCAAATGGAATGGTTGGCGGCGTTTATGTTTTCGTTCTTTGATTCCAAATGGAATGGTTGGCGGCGTTTATGTTTTTCGTTCTTTGATTCCAAATGGAATGGTTGGCGGCGTTTATGTTTTTCTTTATTTGATTCAAAATGGAATGTTTGGCGGCGTTTATGTTTTTTCGTTATTTGATCCAAATGGAATGGTTGGCGGCGTTTATGTTTTCGTTCTTTGATTCCAAATGGAATGGTTGGCGGCGTTTATGTTTTTCGTTCTTTGATTCCAAATGGAATGGTTGGCGGCGTTTATGTTTTTCGTTCTTTGATTCCAAATGGAATGGTTGGCGGCTGTATGTTGTGAATTGGATGCTTACTGTAGGTATTTTTTTGGTTTGTGGGTGTGGTCATGTGGATGATTATACTAGAGGCATGATATATTGTTTTGGCCGCATAAACATCGGCAATGTACTCCCAATTAAATTACCTTCCAATAGTACTTAAAACTGACAAGGACACATTTCTAAAGCAATATTTGTGAACTATTATTTAACGTCTTCAACGATAATAACCAATTTACAGGCTCCTGTCTTGAGTTTTACCAAACAATACACAAATGCATCAACTAAATTCATATACAGAGAGATAAATACATGCATTTTAAAAGCATGGATATATGAACACGTTGGTTTGTCATTTAAGTATGGCTTTCATGAATAAATTCCTTCCATTAGTGCCAAATGGATGTTGCAATATCTTCTGTTTTAATGATTAGTTACTACGAATTGTTGCTGAAAATTTATACGCAGAGATTACTGGGAAATAAACACAACTATATTATTATTTTCTGCTGTCTAAAATAACAGCTAAATGCATTGAGCCTTCATCCGACAGACTAACTATAGAATCATCTAAATAAAGACGTTAGTAAGCCTTTTTCTCTTTCATTCCCAGATAATATTTTACTCAGTTCTTGTTAGAAATATTAACAATTCCTACTCACATAAACTCCTTTTTTGGAAATGAAAGTTACTACTGCAATATCTGCCAAGAAATCCAAATAGCTATGAAAGAAATCAACAATCTTTCATACGGCCTATTTCAAAATATTAATTTTATTTTAGACATTACTAATCTGTTGCTATTGTCAGCATGTTAATCGAATTGTATTATACATTTACTTGTTCAAGTTTTTTCTTGACAATTCCACATAGTAAAACGTTGGAGCGTTCTTTTGCTCGAACGCAATTTAATTTACTGCCTTTAGAGCTAGAATATGAATTGGAAGGAATTAAATGTTAGCAACTAAATAATACTCCCAATGAATCAAATTTTAACAACACAATCATCCTCAGCATTACAGTCGTCGACATCAGCAACATCATCCTACTCATCATCAGATTGAGCAATATCACTGGAAACTGAAGGCACAATGAAAGTTCTAATTTATATTTAGTATGGAACCGCTGCAATTAAATGAAGTTATTACTACATATATTATACCTATCTCTCGATCGCTGTCAACACAAACACACACACACACACAGACACACACACACACACTTGTAAATTATACATAACGGGGACATGATTTTTGCCATCAAAATGGGGACAATTTTAGCTTAGCAAATAATGAGCAATAAAGATCTATTTTATTATGCATTTAATATATATATATGTCATTTCCAATTGATTTGTGATTGATTTCCAAGAAAAACTGCATGAGAATATTTTACTATCAGAACATATATACAGTGTTAGAAATTATACAATGAAATAAGTAACATTATGTAAGTCTATAATTTGATTCTAAATAGAAATCAGTACAATGTATATATATATATATATATATATATATATATATATATATATATATATATATATATATATATATATATATATATATATATATATATATATATATATACAAAGAATGTGTTCCTTCTTCTAAAATGCACGTCAGTCTTCAGTTCAAAAAATATTGGCAAGACTACAGTTTGAATTAAAAATGGCCTTTAAAGTAACACATTTTTAACTTTGATATAGTCCCGTATTAAAATCTAATTGTGTGGGTTGATTGTGCAGTATTCATAATAGGGACTGGTATTTCGTACAATGGAATGACTGAGACGTGACTATCCGATTATCTGGAGTTGCCTTTATTATTTCTATGATGGTAAATGTGGTGTAGTGTTACAGGGGAAATGAGGCTTAAAATCATGATTTGACTGACTCAAGGTAGCGTAGGAAAAATAGTACGCAGTATTTGTTGTTTGAGTTGTGAATTTTATTTTATGGTAGTTAAGTACTGGCACAATGTTACGGAAACGTATTAAGGAGAAGCAATGCATTTGTGAAGTAGGCAGGCAGTTGTGAAAGTGTGATGTGAATGTGTAATTGTGATATTGGTGGTGTTGCATTAATTAGAGGGAAATTATCATAGCTTGTTTCATTCGTTCACTAATGAGACCTTTTGCATGTCACAGTATTAATGGTCTGCCTTTCGCTATGTGAAATCAGTTGTGAATATAATGTTGCGTATTTGTGGTCATTGATTGATTAGATTGATTAGAGATTGACGATTGTTATCATCGGGTCCTTAGAAATAGGGGGAAACACGAGACTTACGGCCAGAAAGAAACGATGCTAGTAAGCAGGAAGAACGACAGAGAGAAGTAACGAAACACAGAGAGAGAGAGAGAGAGAGAGAGAGAGAGAGAGAGAGAGAGAGAGAGAGAGAGAGAGAGAGAGAGAGAGAGAGAGAGAGAGAGAGAGAGAGAGGGTACTGACTAAACGAGGAAAGAATTAAAAATATTTGACAATTTACCTGTGTCAAACAAAATTTTCTGATTGTTTTGCTTCAAATTATTTATACTTCAGCCAGTACATTTACGATTCATCGAGAAACACTAAATATGAGTATGAAAATTTGTATTTGCGGCGTCATGGCTAGTGCGATGTACAAATATTTACACAAGTTATTTTTATTTCCTATTGGTTCAAGTTAAACTCCAATGCGGTTCATTGGAGGAAGGAAATTGGATTATGTTTTGTTTAATATGTAGACTGATTTTTATCATTCTTCTTACCACATTTGTTTGAACTAAAATCTATGTTGATA